AAAAAGGCACCATATATTCTTATACATTTACATAAATAGTTGAAAATATTTACATTTATAGGTAAAACAATTATAATATTAATTTTATTCGTCATCAATTACATCTTCATCGTGATCTATGTCATCATCATCTTCCTCAATTATTGGTGGACTGTTATTGCACCCTTCATCTGAGCACCCAGAACAAGTAGAGTTACAGTATAAACCAACTTTTCTGCACCCATATGAAACGCCGCATCCTTTTTTGCATTGGCAAAAAATAATTTTCAAAAATTTATCGAGTGCATGTTGTTTGTTCATGCGTACGGGTAATAACAAACCATCTTTGGAAAACCATCCCCAATCTGTTGCTCTGATATTTTCATTGCCAAGCCATAGACATATGAGCAGATGTTTTATTCTGTTGTGTGGGATTTCAAAATAAGAACGCTTAAAATTTCGAATGTATAACGCCCCACTAGCTAATATACCTGTTTTGTAGATTATTATGCTCCGAAATGTACTGTACTATACTAATGGAATTTTCCAGAAAAAAATTAACTGGTTTTTTAACGTATTTCCTTTAATTTTTAACGATAGATGTTTCTTTCAAAAACGATTTGTAGAGGTTTTTAATAGCTACAAGGATCTGTGAATTAAATCTTTTTGGAACCCTTGGTTTTTAAATGGGGTGAGTTTAAAGGGCTCGAAAAAGATGGTGCTTTAAACGGCTATATCTCGCCAAATATTCATTGTACAACAAATCTAAATAAAGGATAATTTTAGTCATTATAAAAGCTACAATTTGGTAATTTTTATTTTTTTCATATATTCAGTATTTTCGGGCATATTTAAAAAAAAAGGGTAAAAAATATGAAATTGTAAAATGTTTCTCGCTTTAAGCTGTACTTTTTCTAGAACTAAGCATTTTAAATGGGTCAAACTTCTTGGACGTATTAACAATACATCTTCAAAGGAAATTGCAGAATTTGGGTTTTCTTCCAAAAATGCATCATTTTCCCGATATTTGACTTTGAATCTTTCAAATTTGGCATTTGAAGAAAACCGCTGAACATTGATATTGTATTTGTAATTGTATTTGTCTTTTTAAAAGCTACAAATTTGTTCTCTACAATTTTTTGATAAAATGCACCATTTTCGAGTTATTCGCGAAAAATCGATTAAAAACGTGGATTTTTTTCGTCTAAAAGTTGTTACTTTCAATCACGAATAACTTGAAAAATATTATTTTATAAAAAAAATGTATGGCACATTTTTTGTTTAGAATCACTTTTCTAATCGAAACCTGTAGTTAAAACGTAAAAAAAATTTTCACCCCAGAGATAGGGTGGCAACCACCCCCTAGGCTTTGGCGCACTTTGGTTCGATATAGATTTTGATCCTTAGGCTATTACCTACCTTCTGTTAAATTTCAAGTCGCACGCCGCACGAAAAAATTGCGAGGTGAAATGCTACATTTCCTGGACTATAACTGGTTTGACAGCATAATCGTAGATTTATGTGTAGCTTTCAATTTTTATGAGTTCAGAATCCAGCAGCCCGCTGAAGTATGGGATTTTTTATAATATAATTATTTGACAATCTTTTGTTGGCCAACTAGCTACAGCAGAATTGAGCCGAAATACAATATATTCCTATGTTCCGAATTTATTTCGTTCAATCTGTATAGATTCCTTACATAATGCAGATAATACAATTATTGAAAAAGACGTGGAATAAAAAAATAATATACGTGTCTAAACACTTATTACAACTATAGGTGCTGTACAAATTTTCCACATAGCTATTATGTATATATATTTGTAAGTAACACACATTATATATGTTTATCAGCAAATATTCTAGAGCTTATATAACAAATCTTTTTGGTTTTAAATTAAATTACTTGGTACACATCAAGCGTGTTGAAATATCTTATATACTAAAACGCTAAGCCCTTTTCTTGTCCACCACTTTACTCAAAAACCATATTAGGTAATTAAAATATTTTTTCGGAATATTATTAGTATTACGTATGAGATTGTCAAGATATACTTTTGGTACAAAAATTCACTTCCAGTTTTGAGATGACCGGAAGTTAAAATTTACTTTAAGTTTTAGAACCATGTATAGAGTGCTTTTCAGATAAAACTATCCACCTTAAATAACTTTTGAACCTTTAATTGTTTGGAAAAACGCAAAAACACTTTAATTAATATCTGAAAGCTTAGGCATAATATCATATTTAAGGTTGCAGGAAAATGCACCCTCTCACCCCCTGTATCAAATTTTTTTAAAACTATTTCCCCCTTTTTTTATTTTATATTTGGATTCTCCTTTTTATACTGATTTCAGAAATGTATAATACATGATACTTGAAGTGATATGAGTGATATGATATAAGTGATATGAGAAAAGTAAATACAAAAGCAAGAAAATTGGATTGAAAAAAATTATTTTTTAACAATTTTATTACACAGATTTAGAACAAACATTTCACTACTAAAAATTTTTACAATAATTGTTCAAAATGACTGCCTTTCACTTCCATACAATAATACAATCTATTTTGAAATTCTTCTCTGACATTGCTTAACACGTCTGCATTTAATTGTTGACATCCATCCTCTATTGTTTGTTGTAAATCATCTAGATATTCTGGTTGAGTAGCATAATTTTTGTTTTTAAATACTCCCATAAGAAGAAGTTTAGGGGTGTTCAATCCGGTGACCTAGGTGGCCAATCGATCATCTGTCGTCTTTTACCTATCCAAGGCCCGGGAACCGTTTCGTTTAAAAATTATCGCACAGGTAAAGCAAAGTGTGGAGTTATCATCATTTGCTACTATTGTTCTAACGATCAACCACTTGCCTATATAATTCAAGATACGATGCACCATTTAAGTTTCCAGTGATAAAGAAGGGTCCGATGTGAAGTGAATGTGATTACGTAGGATACCACACCATACGTTTAACCTTTGAGGATGCTGTGTGTGAAATTCGCGTACAATATGTGGATCACTCTCAGCCCAGTATCGGCAATTATATCTGTTCACCAAACCGTTTAATGAGAATGAGCATTCATCTGAGAAGAAAATATTGTTTAACAATTGTGGATTGTTAATGATCCATTTTATCATTAATTCGCAACATTCGGGACGACGATTAAAATCTTCTTCATTTAACTCTTGTACTAATTTAATTTTATATGGATAAAACTTAAATTTATGGAGGACTCGGAAGGCTGTAGAAGATGAATCACCGTTTGTTCTGCTTATTGTTGACAGTTTTTTTGTTTTTGTTCGATTGCTTTTTTATTTACAAGTTCCTGTCGGTTATGTTTTTTATTGCAAACTGACCATCTTGATCTAATTTTTTCTGCATCAGTTCAATCACACACTTATGAGTTGCATGTCTATTGTGGTGTGTTTCATTAAAAATTCTAGCAGTAGCTCTTGCACAATTATTATTTTTGTAGTATAAACCTACAATTTCGATTCTTTCTTGCAAAATGTACACCATTTCAGCGATCAAATTGCACACGTATTAAAATAAGCTGTTACTTACAAGTTATAACAAATTGTCGCTATTAACCGATTAAAACAAATGTAAAAATCATATCGAAAACCTTTGATAAAACTTGAATAAAAAGTGAATTTTTTTGTTTCTTGGTTTTTAAAGGTACTACAAATAGTACGGTTAAATAATCAAAGAGTTTAAATTATGCTGCAAGCTATTTTGTTAGAGACAATTAAGGTGAGGGAGATACTGTCTTGTTAACAGGAAAATTGTATATCTGATAAACTAATCACTTCAAGCCAAAGGTATTATACATTTTTGAAATCAGAACAAAAAGAGAATCTAAATATAAAACAAAAAAGGGTGAAGTAATTTAAAAAAAATAAAGGGTTGATACAGGCGGTGAGATGGTGCATTTCCAGCAACCTTTAATATGATATTATGTCTCCCCCTTCAGATATTAATTGACGTGTTTTTGCATTTTTCCAAAAAATTAGAGGTTCAAAAGTTATTTAAGGTGGATAGTTTTATCTGAAAAGCACTGTATATGGATCGAAAGGTCTCGTCGAGACGAGTCTAAATATGTACTTCCGGTTGCGATCCGATACCGGAAGTGACCCGAAACCATCGAGCAATAAGACAAAAGAGGGAATGTAAAGTAGAAGGGGTAAACATATTGATAGACAGGAAGTGCCATCTTGAGAGGCCACTTTAGACAAGGAAAGACAGTCTCTTTCCTTGTTTAAGAAGTCAAATTTAGTTTGGTTATGTTATTGTTTGTCCCAACTGTCACATGAAATTTTATTTATATTGAAGTTTTTTACCAATTATGTCACTTTTTAGACTATTATCGTTGATATTTAATTAAAAACTTTCTTGTCTGAAAAATATTTTACAGGTATTGTTAACAAGTGTTGGAAAATTTAAATTTAGCGCCTTTGCATTTCCGGATGTGTCCGCCATCAGAGGCCACTTTTTTGGTCTCCTTTTTATAACGATTAGATTCCCTCTTTTGTCTTATTGCTCGATGCCCGAAACACGCATAAAACGTCAAGATAGAGCAAATCTGACACCGGATTCGTGATCAGCATGCAAAATTAACTGCTAAATTATCAAAAACGTAGTTTTCGACGAACTATTTCAAGATATTTAATACACTTTTTACTTGCATTATTATTGATGAATGTTATGTATATTCTTGCTTATATTGTTTGTATTGATCTCTTAATTTTTCTCGCAAAATAAAAATTTCATTTAAAAAACTCGATGTCGATTTCATTTAAAAATCTCTTCTGTTAAAATTTTTAAAATTTAAATACATTTTTTCGTATTAACTTTTGGCGACATCTGGAGCGTATCGACGTATAACTTTTGTGTAATTCTTTGTTAGCGACACCTTTTGGAAGATAGGGGAACTTTTATTATCCTTTCCTCATTGATTATTATTCAAATAATTATTTATAAAAGCTTTATTTTTTACAGGTACACATTTTACAAATTTATTTACGTTATTCTAGTATTTAGAGGATTTACAATTTTACCAGCCATTAGCGTTACGTGAAGTTCTGTGTCTACAACAAAATAGAGGAAAGGTCGGTCTACACGAAAATCGACAGGGGGATCTTGACGAAATTCCCCTAAAAAAAAAATAGAAACATTGTTTAGTATAATATGCGGTCTTTAAAAAAAAACAATTAAAAGTACAGTATCTGGCAAATTATTAGGTCAACCAAGGAAAAATTTACTATATGAACTTATTACTCTCATAATTATGAATATATTTAAAAAATTACTGTTTTGTTGTTTTTTTTTGCGAATATTAACTCTTAGATATTAAAACTGTGCTAAAAAAACTGAGTAAAAACATTTATTCATTAAAAAAGTATAATTTTTATAAAGTAATGATCAGTGCAATATTTTGTATGTCCCCTTTGGCTGCTAGAAGTGCTTTAACACGTTCGCTGCCATGTTGGTCCGATGGGACCATCACTGATGTTGCTTCAATAGGCCACGTTGGTCCAATGAGACCAACGCAAGTATTGCATTAACAGGCCATGTTGGCCCTATGGGACCAACATTTATTCCGATATGTACCGAGCCATTGGTGTTTATTTAGTATTAAATCACCATGGGAATGGACCAACGAGGCCTACAAGCTATGTGCTGTATAGAGAAATATAAGTCAAAAACGTTATTTACAACTTTGGGATGATATTTATTGATACAAACATGTTTTTCAACAACAGAAAAATCAAATAATGTAAAACAACCAATAAAAAAAGTTATTTAAATTCTATGTAATTCATTAAAATAACCTATACACCAGAAAAGGTTCCTTGTCACAGCTTTTGCAAAATGTGTCTACCTTTTTAGTTTTGTTCATAGCATACTGACGGCCGTGTTGCTCACTATTTTTTTTTGTAGCAGTTCTTGCAAATCTTTCTTCGTTGATGTTTACTTCCGTCTGCCTTCTGTTCAAGCTGATGGTGATTATTTGACACACTTCGTGGTACAGTAGTGGTTTCTTTATAAGTAACTAGATGTTTCACTATTTGTTTTTTAAAATCTGTCACCGACATGTTGTTATTTGTTACAAGCTTATATATTAAAAAAGAATTTATAACTGATGTAGTTAATAATAATTCAAACCCAACTTTTTAAACCATTTTACGCTTTTCCTTAGGGGGTTGAAATACGCTCCCATTTGGTCAGATAAGTCTACTGCCGCTTTGCCTTTATTGTAATCTATTACCACCTTGGGTTTCAGTTTAGTTTGTCGATTACAAGATACTTCGACCATTTCATTGCCGTGTTTAGTAGAAAGCATGTAAATATTTATTTTGTATTTCCAGTTCGTAATGGTGACTCCATCATTACTTTCCATAGAAGCAATCTGCCCTTTATTTAATTTTGCAGCTACTACTTCTTGGGGTAAATATTTTCGTTTTTTTTTCAACAGTTTCTATCAGGTGTGTATCGACGGACAACATTTTGTTTGCTAGCGGTAAACTTGTATACCAATTGTCGGTTATCAGAGTTCTTCCTTGATGTACTAAATCTTCCATAAGATACAGAACAACGCTTTCTGGAGTGATGTTAGAACTATTTTTTTTCCCTGCATATACTTTGAAATTGTAAGTATATTTGTGTCTTTTTGTCTTAATGTACTGTTTAAACCCCAAGCGTTCCCTAAAGGGTAATAGGGTTTCATCGATGCAGACATATTCTTCCGGCACGTATAAAGACAAAATTTGCAGTCAGAATGTCGACAAGTGGCTTTAACTTATACAGTTTATCACTTGTATCTGCCAATAAATTATCATTAAAGTGAAACATCCTTAACAGCATCTCGAATCGATTTCTAGACTCTTTGCAAAATTATTGTAGAATAGGTTATCGTTACTCCAATAGTCTGCGATTTTTGGCATTTTCACTAAACCCATCCAGGCAACCAGTCCTAAAAATTTTCTAATTTCAATATTTGTCGTTGGAATCCAGTCATGTAAGCGAGAGCTTGGTGTTGCGTCTGCAGTCAGTACAGACTGAGTTGCATATATATTTGTTTGGTTACAAATCAGACTAATTACACTGTCATCGACCACAGCATCAAAAAAGTCTCCAGGCGTACCATTTGCCAACATTGCAGCTACTTCATCATTTACTCCTGACAGAATAGAAAAAGGTGCTATTTAGCTTATAATTACCTACTACTGGACCCCAATTTGGTTCTATATTCGGTACGGGTAGGTTGTGAATCTAATTTTATTTTTTTTTTCTCTGTAAAAACTTTTGTACATTTTCCACCGTTTCTTCTGAATCTGACGAATCTGATTCTTCTTCTGAACTACACAGGTAGTCACTATCAGAAGCTTCGAATGGTTCATCATCGTCATCGGAGGGTTCTCCAAAATTGATTGCAATGTTTTGCAATTCACGCTCTGTCAGAGGTTTAGAACGTCGAGACATCTAAAATTACACAATATGTTGTAAAAATATTGTAATTTAAACATTATTTAATACTTACAGCAATTTATTCTTTCAATTTATTGAAATGAAAAACAATCAACAAGAACAATAGGCAATGCAAATTCGTTTATTTATGTTAGGTTATGTTTACTGCGACGGACCAACGGCGCACAGAAGCATTAGCACGGTTCACTGGGCCGCGTTGCCTCGATGGGAACAATACATTTGATATGTGGTGGCTCATAGGAGCATTTAATAAAAAGAATGGCTGAATCACGGAGGCATTGATTTACAAAATATGGTCGGCAGCGAACGTGTTAACACGTCGAGGCATGCTCTCGATATAGGCTTGAATAGTTTCCTTGAGGTGTATATTATGATTCCATTCTTATATGAGCATCTTAAGTTACTCTCTTTTGCTAGTAATGTTTTCCCCTCACTTTTCGCTGACTTTCACCCATTCTCAATACCGTTTATATCAGACGAGTTGCCTGGCCAGACAAGAACTAAGACAAACAAGAAGCAGACCTAAAATCAACAAAATTATAAAGAAATACTCATATTTTATTAATTTTCATATTGTTATTCAAGCAAAACAACACAAATGTACCTTCCATTATCCAATTTTTGTATTTTTGTTCACATTCAAAACGTTTTTTATCATAGCCGAAGTAAGAATTGTCTTTCGAGCTGATGTCCTAGCTAGCGGTTTGTTTTGGACAAGTGCCCAACGAACTGTTCTTTCCAAAACGTAAATTTCTTTATCTTTTGTCTCCTGGGTAAGTATTCGCAGAGTTTTTTTTTCTGTTCTAGACAAATACCTTTTATTTTGCGATCAGTCCTAGGAATAGTCACACAATATCTTCTGCTGTGACCCTTTCACTTTGGATCCAAACTGACTCAAGACGTAATTTTCTGTTTTATATTCCATACAGGATACGTGGATTGACTACCTAAAAAAGCTTAATGTAGAGGAACAACAAACGACGCTTGAACCGGAAACACCAGAAATTACCACAAATTAAGAACTTAATATAAATGTACAAGAAGTTCGAAAAATACTTGAAAAGCTGAAGAACAAAAAAGCAGCAGGTAAAGACGGGATACCGGAAGAATGGGGAACGAGCGAACTAATGTTACTATTCAAAAAAGAAAATAAAAAACAGCCAGAAAACTACAGAGGTATTAACTTGCTAAATGCTACCCTTAAACTTACAACTAAAGTTTTGTAAGTGCTAATAACTCAGAGGATAAGTTAAGCAGATGAACAACAGGGTTTTCTTAGTGGAAGATCGTGTAGAGATGCAATATTCGTTATAAAGCAAATTACTGAGAAAATCACTAGAGTATAATAGACCAGCATTTTTGTGTCTGATTGACTTAAAGAAAGCGTTTGATAGAGTATGACTTCTTCATCTTTTTCTTTTTATATAGATATAACTCTGTCTGTTTTTCAATGTCCCTCCAGTACGTTGTCGTTCCATCGTTTTCGTGATCTTCCTACTGATCGTCTTCCTACTGGGGAACCATCTCTTGCCGTCTTTACTACTCTATTTGTTGTCATTTGGCTTTTATGATCGTTCCATTCTACTCTTCTATTCTTTTCCCAGTTCTTGATGTTCTCCACCTTGCATCTACATCGTATATTTGTATTTCTATCTCTGTCTCATAGTATCTTACCATTAATTTTTCATCTCTGCTGTTTCTAACATTGTTTTTGTACTCTCTGTATTAGGTCTTGTTTCTGCCGCGTATGTCATTATTGATCTGATGACTGTTCTGTAAACTCTGCTTTTCGTTTCTTTCCCGATATTTTTATTTCTCCATATTGTTTCATTTAAGCAGCCTGCGGCTCTGTTTGCTCTATTCACTTGATCTTCCACTTCGGTTTCGAGCTTTCCATCGCTAGATAATGTGATGCCTAGATATTAAAACTTCATCACTTGTTCTATTATCTGGCCTTCCAGCTTCAATTTACATCTTAGTCAATTTGCTGTTGTACCCATGCCTTTTTGTCTTTTTTGGGGAAATTAACGTGTTAAATTTTCTGGCGGTTATATTAAATTGGTGTAGCATACGTTGTAAATCATCTTCACTTTGAGACAGTAGTATTGCGTCGTCTGCATAGCAGATTACTTTAAGTTGTTTTTCTCCCATTTGGTGTCTTTTATTATTATTATTATTATTATTATAACATAAGCGAGGGCACAGGAACTAAGTCCCTATTATGCCCAAAAACAAAGAAATTTCATTAATCACCTACTAGTAAATAACAACAATTACAAATAAAAGAAACAAAATTACAATTTTATGGTTTAAAAAAACAATATTTTAACTATAATATAAAACGGTCAAGCATGTTTTTGAACGAGTTGGTAGAGGAAGCGGAGACAATGTTATCGTTGAGGTTATGCTAGCACTCAAAAACTCTATTTGGAAGAAAGTTCTGTCTTTGTCTTGTAGAAAAATTTTGTTTCTTTAGTTTATACTGATGACCTCTGAGGCGTCCATCTTGATTTATGATAAGTATTTCATCGAGGTTTCCAAAATTGAATTTTAGTATTTTAAATGTTGTAATTAAGTCTCCACGTTGTCGGCGAAGTTCAAAAGTAGTTAGGTTAGCCATACTAAGTATTCTGCATAAGACGGTCTTCTCGGTCCCAAAGAAATT